TGCTGAGTCAGCTCGACCCCTCCAACTGTCTGGGCATCCGGGGCTTCGCCGACACACACTCGTGCAGTGACCTGCTCAAGGCGGCACACAGGTACGTGCTGCAGCACTTCGTGGACGTGGCCAAGACTGAGGAGTTCATGCTGTTGCCGCTGAAGCAGGTAACGTGGCAGCTGGAGCACAGCCTGGACCTTGACTCCGACCCCGACCCTGACCCAATCGCCAGACCCCAGTACCAGCCTTGGCCCCCCTGGCCCCCATCATCTGGGCCCATAAGACCCGGTCCTTTGCTCCTTAGTCTTTATCTCCAGTCTCTGACTGACGTTCCAACCCCGCCACCCATCCTCTGGGAACCCCCCACCCCCGTTTTCTAACCCCACACAAGCCATCACCATTGATACCTGACACTCCTGTTCTGATCACACACCTGCCTACAGTCTCCCGTGCCTGGTTCCTTACTCCCAGGACTGCTCTGGGGCTAGGCCTCTGGGAACTGGGTCTATGACTCCTGACCCTGCTTGGCTCTTCCTCATAGGAACACTGGGCCCCCTTGGACTCTCCCTCCCAGGCACCTTCAGGGCTCCATGGGTCCCCAGGCCCCTCCCCAGATCTCAGGTCTGAGGGTCCCCACCCCCAGGTGCTGGAACTGGTCTCTAGCGACAGCCTGAACGTGCCTTCAGAGGAGGACGTCTACCGTGCCGTCCTGAGTTGGGTCAAGCACGACGTGGATACCCGGAGGCAGCACGTTCCTCGGGTGAGGCCAGGCGCTGGGGGGCCTGCGGTGATTGGGAGGGGATGCAGTGACTGAGGATCAGGCGTGCCTGGGCCCTTCTGTGCCCAGAGCTCCCACAGGGGTGATGCAGGCACGTGTCTTGAGAAGGGTCCAGGACACGTGAGCAGGCCTGACCGTAGCAGGCCTGCTACCACACCCCAGCTGATGAAGTGTGTACGCCTGCCCCTGCTGAGCCGGGACTTCCTGCTGGGCCACGTGGACGCCGAAAGCCTGGTGCGGCACCACCCGGACTGCAAGGACCTACTCATTGAGGCCCTCAAGTTCCACTTGCTGCCCGAGCAGAGGGGCGTCCTGGGCAGTAGCCGCACCCGACCCCGGCGCTGTGAGGGCGCTGGCCCTGTGCTCTTCGCTGTGGGTACGCCCACCCGTCCTGTCCCATCCAGTCCCCCATCCCTGCCCTGTGCCCCGTGTCCCTACCCACAAGCCCAGCACAAGCCCCCCCACCCCGTGCTGTGGCCACCCTGCGCTCACCCCACACCTGCTCTTCCATCCACCACGGTGTGACCTGCTCACCAGTCACTGGCCCCACTTGCCCTTGGAGCCTCCAGTCCCTCAGCCTCGGGCTGTGCTAGAGCCTCCTAGCCCACTGCGTCCCTGGGCCCTTGTCCTGCCCCGTCACCTCCCCCTGCCTAGGTGGTGGGAGCCTGTTCGCCATCCACGGCGACTGTGAAGCGTATGACACACGCGCTGACCGCTGGCATGTGGTGGCCTCGATGTCCGCGCGCCGGGCCCGGGTGGGCGTGGCGGCAGTCGGGAACCGGCTGTATGCTGTGGGCGGGTAAGAGTGGGGGCTGGGCTCGGGTCAGGGGCTTGGCATGTGCCCACTGGGCCAACCCTGACCGGCAGCGAACCCCTCCCCTAGTTACGATGGGACTTCAGACCTGGCCACCGTAGAGTCCTACGACCCTGTGACCAACACCTGGCAGCCTGAGGTGTCCATGGGCACGAGGCGCAGCTGCCTGGGTGTGGCTGCCCTGCACGGGCTCCTGTATGCAGCCGGTGGCTACGATGGGGCCTCTTGCCTCAACAGGTAGTGGCTGGGGTCAGGGTCGGGTGGCCTTTCAGGGTTGGCTCAGCAGGTGTGGCTGCATCAGGACCGCAGAGGTCCTGCCTGAGGGGAACCAAGGGGGACCCTGCCTGAGTCAGGTCACCAGGGTCCCCTGTGCCTCTTCATCCTGGCTCACCCAGTGGCCCCTTCTTTCCTCTCTGGCGTCCTTCCCACCAGGCCAGGGGCTGGGCCCAGGTGGACACTTGCCCAGCATTATCCAGGTAGCCTGTGGCCTGTGTCCACCCAGTAGGCCCTGCTTCCTGCTCCAGTGGGACTCTGGGGTCAGCCGCCGTGACTGCCTAGCACAGAACTTTAGTCATTCCTCGGGGGAGGGCAGGTCCTGGGGCCGGGACTGCCTTTCTGCCACTGCTCAAGGTCAGCGGCCGTCCCGGTGTCTACAGTGCCGAGCGCTACGACCCCCTGACGGGAACATGGACGTCGATCGCCGCCATGAGCACCCGGAGGCGATATGTGCGCGTGGCCATGCTCGGTGGGTGACTGATTCGCATAGCGCCCACCCCGGGGACCCCCGCACACAGCAGGTGCACCACGGGTGTGTTGACTCCCTGCAGACGGGAACCTGTATGCCGTGGGCGGCTATGACAGCTCGTCACACCTGGCCACCGTGGAGAAGTACGAGCCCCAGGTGCGAAACACCCCAACCACACGCCCCCCTTCCCCACAGCTGCTGCGGGCCGCCACTCTCTGGCCACCCCCATCCCCTGGAGGGCCATCCCGTTACATCCACCCTGTCCCACAGACACCCCACCCTGGACTAGAGTCCTGCACGCGGAGATGGAGGGAGGCTGGTAGTGGGTCTGCCCCCAGCCCGTCCCTCCACCGCAGGTGAGCTCCTGGACGCCCGTGGCCTCCATGCTGAGCCGGCGCAGCTCCGCGGGTGTGGCGGTGCTGGAGGGGGCCCTCTACGTGGCTGGTGGCAATGACGGCACCAGCTGCCTCAACTCTGTGGAGAGATACAGCCCCAAGGCGGGTGCCTGGGAGAGTGTGGCGCCCATGAACATCCGAAGGTGTGCTGGTCCCCACACCTGTCACCCCCACAGCGGTCTGCACCCCCGACCCCGACAGATGTGTCCCAGGCTCTCACCCCTGCACGGCATGTGCCCCCACCTCCTTCCCAGGTCTCTCCCTCCAGGGCCCCGCCCCCACTGCTCCAAGGCTCCGCCCCCATCATGCCAAGGCCCCGCCTCACGGGCTCATTTCCCCCACCCATCCGTCCCGCCCCCAGGATACCTCCCAAGGCCCTGCCCCCTGATCAGGCTCCTCAGGTGGCTACCGCCCCAGACCCGGCCCTGCGCCCTCCTCACCCCCAGCCTCGCCCCCTCCCTCTCCCCGCCCTCCCTGCCGGCAGGAGCACACACGACCTGGTGTCCATGGACGGCTGGCTGTACGCCGTAGGGGGCAACGACGGCAGTTCCAGCCTCAACTCCATCGAGAAGTACAACCCGAGGACCAACAAGTGGGTGGCCGCGTCCTGCATGTTCACGCGGCGCAGCAGCGTGGGCGTGGCAGTGCTCGAGCTGCTCAACTTCCCGCCGCCCTCTTCGCCCACGCTGTCCGTGTCGTCCACCAGCCTCTGACCCGTGGTGCGGCTGCGCAGAGACCCGCCCGCGGCCTCCCACGTGCCTTAAGCCCCCTGGGCCCAGCGCCTGCCTCCTCTGCGCGTGGGGCGGGGCTCGGCCCCCACCAGGAACGTCCGGGGCCGTCTGTCCAGTCTCCGCGCGTCTAGGCCGCGGGTTTCTGTGTTCCTTCCTCAGTGTTTGTTTGCGTGTGCCATTTATTTATTCACTCGTTTATTTATTGATTGGTGGTGAGCAGGCTGCAGCTGCCAGTTTCTTCGTTTATTTTTGAAGTGTCCTGTCTGGGACCAAGCTGCCCTCCTGGGTGTCCTCCCACCGTGCTGGGGGCACTAGGGAGCGACAGGGTGGACACTGGCGTTGCCCGTGGTTAAGGGGCCAACTTGGACTCTCTAGACCTGGAGGGACCGAGGGGTGATGCAGAGCAGTTATGGGGGGGGCGCTTTCTGAGCAGGTGCAGACCCCCAGCCTGCGCTTTGCACACTTCCTTGCCTCGCCCAGCCAGGCACACTCCCGGCGGGGGGGGGGGGGGCCGCGTGGGCTTGGGCTTCCTTCCTGTGACTGTGGTGTCATTTCTGGATCCTGCACTGAGCTGGGCACACGTGCATCGCAGGCCGCATACAGCAATATGAACCACTTGAACAATAAACATGTTTCCTGGGCTCTGCGGGCCTGTGGCTGAGTGTCCATCTCTGTCTTTCAGAGTCCTGTCTGCGGTGACCAGGAGGGCCTGGGGTGGCTATGTGGCTGGGCCGAGATGCTGTGTTGGCACCTGGGGGCTTGAAGGCAGCACCATCACATCCAGGGGCAGGGCTGTGGTGGCCAGTGTGTTAACTCCTGGCTATGCGTGGCATTCCCCCTCACCATGGCTGTCCCAGGCGCACCTGGGAGGGTCATGGCCTCCCTCCTGGATTCTGGTTAAGCCTTGGGGACCCTGACCTTGATCTGGGGTGAGGATTGGACTGAGGCAAGAGAGGAGGCTGCGGGAGGGTCCTGGCTTCCCCTGACCCAGTTGCAAATTCCTGCTTCAACAGCTGAGAGTAAGCACACATCCCCCTGCAGTCACTGGTGACTCAGCAACAGGCATTTAGGTGGAAACAGGATGTGTGCTCACACGGTGGGGAGGTCTGGAAGGGGATGCCTGGGCTCACGGAGCTCTAGCTCTAGGCACCCCCAGTCTGATGCAATCACAGTCTGGCCTGTGGACCCCCTCCTGTACAGACTGGGGGCTCTTCACGGGGCGGTGAGAGGAGGGGAGCCTTCCCCGCCCCCTGCTAGCTGGCGCGTGTGGAGGACCCCGGGCAGGGAACTGAAAGGCTCAGCTCAGCCTCAGGTGGGGGCCAGGTCCCTCCCAGAAAGGCTCCGCCTCCCCGGCCCTTGGGTACAGGGCAGGCCGCCCCAGAGCCCCGCCCCAGGAGTTGGGGCAGGAGGTTCGGGACAGAGGGACCCAGACCTGTCGACCTGCTCTACTCGGGCCGGCTGCCACCGCTGCCCATGGGGAACAGCCACTGTGTCCCTCAGGCTCCTAGGAGGCTCCGAGCCTCCTTTTCCAGAAAGCCCTCGCTGAAGGGAAATAGGTGAGGTGGGGCAGGGTACAGCTGCGGCCACTCGGTCACAGGATCTCCCTCAGTCTGCCTCGGGGGCCAGGCTGTGAGCACCCCTTCCCTTGTTCCCAGAGAGGACGGCGCCCGGAAGCTGGTCGGCCTGTTTGGCACTGAGGCCAGTCCGGATGGGGGCACCACTGCCGACAAGATCTTCCGCCTCATCCCTGGAACGGTGAGCAGCCGGCCAGTGAGCCCTGGCTCGAGGGGGCGTGGCAGTGGTGGTCTGCGTGTGACCGCGCGTGTGTGTCCTGCCTGTGCTGGGCCCGGGGTCTTCCCCGTCGGACCAGGGGAGTCAAGTCCACGGCACGGGGAGGAAATAGGTGCAGCCCTGCCCTGGGAAGCTCGTCGGCCGAAAGTCTGAGCAGAGTGAAACTGAGGCCCGGCCCTGAGTCAGCGGGGTGGTGGGGCGGGGCCTCCACGCCTGGCCACGCGCCAGCCCTGCCCCGGGGCCCTGGTGTCCGCCCCCCGCCACGGGCCCCGGGCCCAGGACAGCGTGTCTGGGCACGTTGGAGCTGGACGAGCACGCGTGTCGTGGCTGCTGCCATATGGGCACGGGTGTCAGGCTGGTGACGGGGCCATGAACCACCACGCCCCCCTGTCACTCCCGAGAGTTAGGGGCTTCAGGTGCACAGTGAGCCGGCCTCCCCCCTACCCTCGGCCCCGGTTTCTCCAAGGGGTGTCCCTTCAGTGTCCACCGCTGCCTCATCCCACAGCAGCCCCTGCGCCCCACCCCCAGGCCCCGCCACAGGAACACGGCTCCCAAGCACACGGCAGGCCACCCCGAGCTGAACGCCACCCCCAAGCCCCTGCCCAGCTGGCCGAGGGGGAGAGACACCCACCCTTTAACCCAGCATGGCAAGGGGTGGGGCAAGGCTCTGCTGTGTGCAGAGGCCCTGGGGTGTGAGGGAAGTGACCCCCCAGGTCCTTGCCCCAGACAGCTGCCCTGCGCCCCTCGGCCCTCACAGCAGCTGGTGTGGGCTCCCGAGCCAGCTTCCCAAGTGTCCCAGTCGGGCTGTCCCCTCTCCTCCGTGGGGTGTCCTGGGCTCCCTGTGGCCAAGTGCTGGCTTCAGAGACCAGGCTGCCTCAGAGAAGTGGACAGAGCACTTCCAACAAGTCCCAAGCGGCATT